CCTGGAACCTGCTTCAGATTCTGTGTCTCCCTCTATCTCTGCCCTTCCACTGCTTGTACTCTCTCTGTCTCTGTCTTTCAAAAATAAATAGTAAAAAAAAAAAACAAAAAACACAAAAAAAACCAAACCCCAAAACATTAAAAAATGTATTTTTAGAAATTATTTAGTCCTTGTATTTTACATTTTCAAAGCAAATGGGATGGAGAAAAAGCTAACATTTTCTATAATTCTGAATCAAAACTTCTTATTTATTTGAGGTAAAATGACCTGGTGATTATCTAAAAATACATTTGTGTGACTATGGAATTCATTTGTGATATATTAAAAACAACCTGGTGATGTAAACAGTACTGTCTCCTGAATTTATTAACAATTATTTCTTAAACCATACTGCCAATATGTTTAAATTATTCATTACCTGTGTGAAAAGTGATTTTACTTGAGAGGCTTCTTCTGAGTGTTTCTCTTTGTGGTTTATTCTGCTTAGTTCACGTTTTGTCTTGTTTTTTTTGGAGAGTTGGAAAAGGGTGAGCCCAGAGGGCTTTTGATCAAGTCAAGTTCTTTTTTGTCCTAAGATCAAGTTTGTTGAAGATCTGTTCTCCCACAGCTCACTTACTGTTCCCAATATTAAAGAATTTTCAACATTTGCTTTACTTTTAGTTTTAATTCCTAAGTTAAAAACATCATGCTTATAGAAGTGCATGATAAATTTGCTGAACATGAAAATATGAGGAATCATGATAATTTATCTATTTTTACCCTTTTTATTGAACAAAAAATGTTTCTTATAATGGGCAAAATTCATGATAACTTCTGCAAAAAATAGTTGCTCCCTGAGACATGCTGTTCTTAGTTATATTTATTTCTTCCTTGCTTCTTGCTCTTATCTCTCCAGGTAAAAATCAGCCTACCTTTTTTTTTTTTTTAATTGCAAACTATTATTTGCAGGATTTGCAACTTGAGTATAAAAAATTCATTAAAATGGATGCTGGAATAGATAAATCTTATCCCAGTTTCCTTTGATGTTTGACTAGTTTTGCTTGAATTGCTAAGATTATTTTATAGATTGATAAGAGGAAACAGACAAAAGCTTTGGGATATCAAAGAACTCCTATGCTCCTATGGATTGTT